TCCGCAGATTACCCTAACCACTATATAGTAAATAGAGTGGTTTGAGTAGTAGTTTATGGAGAGTGATTAGCTCTAGCTTCTTTAAAGGTGAAAAAAAAAGGAATCTAACGAGAAATTTAACCTTGAGAACAAATCACAGATATGATAATTTTGTTGCATAGTTTATTCTGACGTTCTTTCACTTCCTGGAAATGTCTTCGTGTTTAATCATGGCTGTTTGAAAGTTATGGATATTTTCTTCTCTGAGAAGATATCAAGTTAGTTTAGATTTTAGCGAGTACTGATTGAGACGGTCGCGATTCGAATCTTGTCACCGAACATGCTCGCCTTTTCAACCGTGGGAGCGTTAAAATGTGACAGTCAATTCCATTATTCGTTGATAAAAAGTAGCCCACGAGTTGACGGTGATTGGCATTAACTAGCTGCCTTCACTCTACTTTATCTCTTAAAAATTAGGGTGGGGGTTTCCCTATATGTCATGTTTAATGGTAAAAGTTCCTTACATTAGGGTCTGATTTTTCCACAGAAACACTGAATGGGAGAAAACAGGTTTCGGGTTTAAAATTTCACCGGTGAAATATTTAACTGGGAATTTTTGAGTGTGACAGTATCCGAGGTATTCGTGTAAATTGGCCTTTCAAAACCGGTCTACCCGTGTTACGCATAACAGTATTAACTTTCAGGAATTCTTGTTATGTTCAAACTGCGCAGTAAACTTGTTCTTAGACCACCTTCCCATGCACTTCATCAGTAAATCAAAGCATAGTTTAAAAACAAGCCCACAAGCTAGGTTGTCCACATCGACAATTTCTAACAGAATTCTGTCTGCTAGATAGGTCTTTCAAACAATATTATATTTGTTTTATCCTTTTTCTGTGTAGTATTTTTCTCTTAACTGTTTTAGCTCGGACTTATAACACTAAATCCGGGGTTCCGTTCTCCGCGGTGGATTCAGCAAATAGCTTTACTCGAAAACGAACAGACAGTTAAATACACTGGAAAATTTCGAGAGGATGTGAAAAAATGAAAATCCTGTCATCACATTTACTTCTAGCTTTTAGTGCAAAGCTCTCGGCAATAGGCTTTATACCTTATATCCACCGAGAGGGATCGAACCCCACATTTTAGTGTTGTAAGTCTGACCCAGCAAAGAACATATGTTATGCCCCTTCTTCTCTGCAACGTTTATTTTACACGTGTATGTACATTTGCGTGTAACGTACACACACGGATTTCTCTCAGTGGGAGATTAAAACACAGCGAGAAGCTAGCAATGTAAACGCTTACTTCTACAATCTGCAATTCGCGAAGATAACTATCTCATTCTATTTTGAAACGTGTACTAAAACGAAGGCAAAACCCACAAATTCATTTGCGGAGGAACAAAAGAAAACTCGCAAATGCTTTTCGGTCGACCGTTTTCGCTGAACAAAGAGTGAGTGAAAGTTAAGACTCTTTTACCTAAGAAGCTATTATAATTCTCTAAAGCACATTCAATCACAAAGAGGTCAAATGTCTAGAAATAAAAAGCCTCGTTACATACCTTCGACAACTCTACAGGTAATCTTCGCCAAGTATTTTCTGACCACCCTATACAACAGCATTAGATATCAACTAAGACACTCTCTGTTTTCAAAATTAACCCTTAAAACTACGCTTGACAAATATTTGACGACCTACTGTTACCACAACAAATACAATAATAAAAATGTAAACATTTGTATGTTACTAAATTTACTATTTATAGGAGAATGATATAATGGTGGTTAAATCATCACACTATAATTTTCAGTCTATGTAAAACTATGGTTTTCTAAAAGTGAATTTTCTGTTCCCTTTAGACAGTATCAAAGATACAGAAACACTGTAGGATTTTACATGACGAGAACAGTTAGTGCTCTATTCTAACTGTACTATTTATACTTTGAAGTTTGGCTTGCTCGTACACTCCAGTTTGCAACTACTTAGAGGTCCTGCCAACATCATCTCCAAGATATATTCTCCAGTTTACAAACACTAAGTGGTCTTGCCATCATATGCTACAAGGTGTGTTCTTCAGTTTGCAACTAGTTAGTGGTCCTACCATCATAAGCACCAAAAAGATATTATGAACAACAGTAGTGACAAACAAAGAATGTAGGCTGGGCTGACTTCTTGGAATTTTATCTTAACACACATACACCTATGTATATATATTAGTTAAGAGATGTTAATCTACATATGATTGATCATTTCGTGCTTCCAGTATTGCATCATTAACCTGAAAACGCAAATTAACGTAAAAAGTTAAGATAAAATACAAATAACAGAATAAGAATTTTACCAATTTTGGCTGCATATTTCTTTCGACTTAAAACAGACATGAAGCTGTTGTTTCTTAATGCGATGTAAAAGTGTTTACATCTGTTCACAAACATACAAATAATGGCATTTCAGCATGGAAAAACTGTGGCAACACCACAGATTTGAACAAAAGTTCGGTCCTGTATATAGAATCACGGTCTCTCGTGGTGAGACCGCTCGACTCGCAATCTGCAAGGTGCCGGTTTGAATCCTCGTCACCGAGCATGCTCGCCCTTAATCCGTGGGGGCGTTATTATGTGATGGTCAATCCTACTCTCCGTTGGTAAAAGAGTAACCCAAGAGTTGACGGTGGATGGTGATGACTAGTTGCCTTCTCTCTAGGCTATCACTGTTTAGTTAGGGGTGACTAGCGCAGATAGCCCTCGTGTAGCTTTGCACGAAATTCAAAACAAACCACACTCTCGGTGAGTCAGTAGTAAGTTTACAGATTTACAGTGCTAAAATATAGAATTCGATTCCTCATTATGGACAGAGCGCAGATAGCCCATTTCGTAGCTTTGCGCTGAAACAACGACAATGTAGAGTTGTGGAAGTGTTACTACACCTTCTAACTTGGCTAGAGTAATTACCGTGCCTATCGATATTTTTATAACATGTCGGGGGGTGCTCCAATTTTCTGATCTAGATTATTGTTTAACTTATTAATTAATAATACTGTCACATTGATTCGGTACTCCAGTGTTCTACGACTTGCAAATACATTAAGAAATGGTCTACAATTTATTCTGTCCAAGAGTGTAATAATTTACAGCTGGACATTAATTCTTTCAACAGATGTTACTTGCTAATTGTCTGTCTTTAAGCCTTATTATGTCGGAAGCAGTCTCATATTCTCCTAAAACAGCTATTTTTTTTTTACAATTTTATTATTGCATAAACAATTACATTCAGTCCAGTTTAAGATTTAGTATAATTCATTTTATCGTAAATTGAATTTTCATTTGCATATTTCTGGTATATTTGGCTCTGTCTTAAGGACATTAGGGACTACTTTTAGGTTAACAAGAGATATTACTTCTTCTAATTGTTCATTATTGTTTAAATCACTTGTAAGAAGCAAACTTTTATACATATGTTACTTGTACAGGTATTTGGATGAAAGATTCCTAATAAAACTGGAACGTGTACAAGCAACAGTTGTTTCAGCCTTGCATCAACGATATTTGTATATTTCCGTTTATCATAAGTATTTTCATCATCTTTTATCCAGTAACAGCCATTGTTAGTTAGAAAGAAAGTTAATGATGTTTGTTGAATTTCGCGCAAAGCTACTCGAGGGCAATCTGCACTAGTCGTCCCTAAATTTGAAGCGATAAGCTAGAGGGAAGGCAGCTAGCCAACTCTTAGACTACTCTAATTGAACAGTGTGATGGATTATAACATTTTAACATCCCCATGATTGAAAGGACGAACATGTTTTGTGGTGGGATTGGAAACCCCGACCCGCAGATTGTGAGTTGAGTACACTAACCACTAAGCCATGCCAGGCCGTTTATTTGTCAGTATACCTGAAAACCTCTCAACTTTAACAGAAACATAACTACATCATTATTATTACCAACTGACGGTATCATTAAGGAAGCAAAAATTGTATAAAGAACAATGTTAGAAAATGTTTTCCTTCCTTCTTTTGTTACTAAATCTTTAATGACCTCATTTGATGATAATATGCATAACCTGCTTTTTGGAAGGTAATAATTGACTCATTTAACTGATTAAGTCCTTGTGTTTTTAAATTCAAAGCCAAAAGTGTATAAAAAATAGAATTTTATTTTATTTCAGGGTGTTTTTAATTTCCATTCTCGGGCAAAAATCCTAAAACAACATAGCCAATATAAACCTTCGGACAGTTTCCATTTACCATACAAATCATTATGGTAATCGAGCCATTCCAACACCGGATGAAGGATGCTAATACAGAAACATATATATCTGTGTTGTAATTATTATAATAAGAATATTTATTAGTGCTGTTGTTATTTCTAGCAATATATAAAAATATACTTACATATTTGTGTACGCTTTTACCTTTTAACTGAGTCATATGCATATTTCGAGATTTTATAAATACTTATCATCCAAGTAGTGGGTAATATTGAAAACTATGAGACATCAACATGTTAAAACTAATTTCTGTGTCTACAGAATCGTCTCCGTCAAAAACAAATGTGAAATATTAATAAATACATAATATAATCATTATTTTAATACAGCTCATACTAAGACGTTCTGAACAGAATAATATTATTAGACAGTGAGTATTATAAAAATTGTAACTTATGTGTCACAGCAAAACCATAAACTTACTTTTCTTTAAACAAAATTTTGCTCAAATAGGAAAGTTGAAGTTAGGAAGAAATTACCTTGATAGTATAATTTATTTTCATCATTTTAACGAGCTAGTTTTTGAACTCGTATTCGTTGCACACACCTCGACTGTAGAATGCTCGCGATATTCCATCGTTAAACTTGTAACATTCTAAATTTAAAATCTGTTCAATGACCATAATTTTCCAAAAAGAAATTTAATTTATAAATAAATCCAGAATTTTTTAATCGTAACTGTTTGATTTCAGTGAATTTGAAATAACTATATAATAAATAAAGAAATACACCATTTTATTTATTTTTTTCAGAAATCAAGTTTGAAGAGCTTTGCAATCTTTTGAAAACTAGCAAGATTACGTTGCTCGATGTGCGGACATTTCAGGAGCTAACAGATGTAGGTTTAATTCCTGGCTCAATGAATATACCACGTGAGTCATTCTTTACATGGACATCTGTTTTATACTTCAGTACACCCAATCCTGCAATAAGCCACAACCACTTCTTCTATTTTATATTATTTTGAGTCATATGTGAATTCCTGTTGCTACCAATTTTGAGTACGCCTGTAATTCCTTAATAAAAGTGTTGAAGATAAACGTTGGCATCAACATATCATTCATTAATGATTGTTCAGAAGTGTTAAAAATATGACAATAATACTTCTTTGTGCGTTACACAAATTTCATTATTTGCGATATTTTTATACATATAATTATCATACAGTATGCTATATCTACTAACAAGGGATAATTTAAAAGTTTGACTTTTCATCTTACTTCTCATGATTTCTAATGTGACTAGGCTTATAGCTCTCTAATATAGCTTCTTATAGCTTTTCTTGATATAACACAAGTTAACTGAAGAAATGTTCATCTTGGAATACGCCGGTCTATCATTAGTGAAACTTCATGTTTTATTTTGTTTATGACGTGTGTGATATGACCCTTTTATAGTTGCTGAACTTGAAAATGCCTTTCATTTGTCACCTGACGAGTTCCAGAACAAGTATGGGTTTCTTCAGCCATCGAAGAATGACGAGAGCATTGTAATCACCTGCAGATCAGGTCGTAGGGCTAAGGAAGGCGTAGAGAAAATGGAGAAACTAGGCTACAATAAGTATGATAAGCTGCATTTCTATTTCAATCGTAAATACCAGAAACAAACAGAAATTCAAACTAGAAACAAAGCTGCTGAATATTCAATACTAAAAAAACATGTAAATGTAATAGGTGTTTTGTCTTCAATAACAAATACCTTAGTGGATCTTGTTAGTGTTTTTGTTTATCAAATTAGATAAGTCGCAATTCAAGAAACCATGTTCTCAAATGGTACACTTTCCTTCTTCAAATTTAATTTTTCACCGTCTGCAATACAACTTATGTCATTTTCCCGAAATCACATCAATTTTACTATATTTTTATTAAGATAAAAATAAAAAATAAGCTTCACATTCCAGAAAATTATTTTTCGTGAGGATTAAATCTAGCGACTTAAAGAAAATTTATACATCGTGTGTCATATGTTAAGTTTTTTTTTTTTACTTTACTGACTCCCGCCAATATGTTTAGTAATCATTTTCTTTTTATTATAGAGTTCGTTGCTACTGTGGGAGTTTTTTGGAGTGGAAAGAAAAAGGCAGGAAGGTTGTTTTTCCGTAAATCTTCACTCATTGATTGCGTTCCAAAACACCACTTGAGCAAAAAATGTACAGTTCTTGAATATTTTAATCAATCAAAGATACCTTAATTCTTTTATTCTTTACATAAGAAAACTTAATCAAATTGTACATCTCTTATTTCTTTAAGTATGTTTCAAAATCGTAGTTAAACGTCAAATAAACTAAATATCTTTTTAGTTTTGTTTCTTTTTGTTGTTGTTTTAGTTTAGTATCCTTACATTCCAACAATCATTTGAATACTATTTTTGTTTGTCTTTGTGGGAGAAGAAGCAGGAGATTGACAGCTTGCTTGAAACAAACTTATACCCTAAAAATGGCTATTCTAATAGAAGTATACAACTCTTTTTGTTGTTTTTTATTGTTGTTAAAGAACCTGACGCCATTGCTTATTTGAGTTCATATTCATTACTTGAAAATCTGGATCTCACATTAATTGACTTTTTAAAACCGGTGCGCTTTATATTCTCTCAGAAATACACAGCAAACACACTTCTTGTGGTAAAATATACAAGATATCTTATAGCTATCTTTAAATACGTGGATATGTATAGCAGGAAATAAAAACTTATATTTTCATTGAAATGCAAAAATATATGACAACATATTTGATACTTTCCTTCATACACATAAGTATATATGGCAACCCATTTCTTATATTCCTTGAAACATGTTTATATAAACAAAATATATGACAGCATAGTAAATATTTTCACTTTAACACACCAATATACTTGAAGACGAGTGGTTAGGGTATGTTCTCAAATATTTGTAAAGTAATCAACATTTTTAATTGATGAAACCTTTTATAAATATGCAACTTTGTTTAAAAACTATTGTACACTTTGAAAAATCCTAAAGTGGTCTTAATCGATAGAAATGGAGATCATCTTTATATTCTCCAAAGGTGCTTCTTCTTTTATTAGTAGTGACATTGGCACTGTTTTTCATTCTATGTTTTCCATTATGATTCAAATTTATTCTTCATGCAAATATCGTTGAGTAAGGGTTGATGGATTTCATGATCTACGTTTTTCTAGTCTATTGTAACATGTTTGTTTTCGTGTTTGAATTTATCATAATGCATTTTATAGTTCTATAGCGTTTTTAACAGCAAATGCATGTTAAAAAGATGAATGCAGTTATTAGTTTTACAGATGTATGAAAACGTCCATATAATGAAGTAAAAGTAAAGATTAACAAGTATAATTAGCATTGAAAAGCAAAAGTAATTAAGAAACTTGGTGATATATTCAGAACCAGTAAAATTCCTGTGTTTATTAGAAAAACTATTATTGTGCTCTTCCTCTGTTAACAACAACTGAGGGCGATGCTTAGAAGAAATAATCGACATTGTAAACAAGTTAAACTATTTGAAGTCCAAAGTGTCTTCAGTAAGATTATGTGTTGAGTAGTGACGTAAATCAGTTGTACTACTACGACATTACCTAATGATTGACATTGTAAACAAGTTAAACTATTTGAAGTTCAAAATGTCTTCAGTAAGATTATGTGTTGAGTAGTGACGTAAATCAGTTGTACTACTACGACATTACCTAATGATTGACATTATAAACAAGTTACACTATTTGAAGTTCAAAATGTCTTCAGTAAAACTATGTGTTGAGTAATGATGTAAATCAGTTGTGTTGCTACGACATTACCTCTCATTATTACCTATTTTCATTAATAGTGTCATTGTTTTTGAAGCGTAAATATATTAAAACCGTATAATTTATGCGATAGAGGTAAGACAACTTATATTTCTCTCTTTCATAGACTTAAATTTAATACATTACACCTAGGCCTGCAATCCATAGGAAACATAAACAGTGAGCATTCAGTTGCGTGAATGCTCACTGGTCACCACCAACAAACATATTGTATATGTAGTGCTGCTGTATAATAAGTGAACATTGCACTATTATAAGTGTAGTCAACATTGCTATAGGTGTAGTCAACACTGGTAAAAGTGTAGTCAGCACTGTCGTAGGTGTAGTCAGCACTGCTGCAGCTGTAGTAAGCACTGTTATAGATGTAGCCAGCACTGGTATAGGTGTAGTCAGCACTGTTATAGTTCAGTTTGAATCACTATTCAAATGAGTGATACATGTTGAACTGTCAACATTTAAATAAAACTCTAACCAGTATTCCTACAATCACAAGAACGCTAGAGAGTATACATTACTGTAATGGTAATAAGTAATACTAATTTTGCTATATCCTGTAAAATTTCCGTTTTTTTAAATGATCAATAATTTTACATCTTACAGGGAGATAGTATTGGTTTATTTTTTCTTTTAGCGCAAAGCTATATAATATAACGTATGTTTATGCTCTGTCCACCACGTGGAACGAAACCTGAGTATTATCTTACCGCTGACCAACTGGGGAGACAAGGAAATAGGTCTTCAGTCTAATTCACGACGATAGCCTAACAACGTACAATAAAAAAACAGTTTAGAATATATTATTTTATTTGCCCTTTGTCACTTATATAATTCGAAACCCCCCGTGAAGGTGTAAATCGGTGCATATAGAAGATCAGTTACAGATTAACGAAACGTTAGTGTTATGTCAGGATGCTTTTAGAAATACGGTCACATGATAAAGAGGCATCTTTCTCTATACAGAACCAAGCCACTGACTGGTTTTATAAAATACTTCCAAACTTCATCAGTGGCTGAAGGGGTATGTAACCGCCTTTTTCAGAAAGAAATATGTATACAACGAGGTTTTTAATTAATGTAAAGCCAAATGGCACAATGTTTTACAAAAGGGGGCTTCAATATTATTCTTGAAAGTAGAAACATTTGCCCACCAGAGTGTTTAGGATAGCAAAAGACTCCCAAATTACATCCAAGCCAATCAGGACCGACGCTCTAATCGCAAAACGAAAGGTATGATCACGAAAAAGAGCCCTTCAATCCAAAAGTCATTTCAAAGTTGTTAGGTACATCGTTTGGTGCCGTTAACAAGATAATAAGCAATGATTTAAAGACGACGAAGGCTCACAAACCAAAAGTTCATAACTTTCAGCCATACTCGAAATCAACGGTTGATTTCATGAGAAAAACGGCAAAAGAAACTGAAATCACTAACATCCCGTTCTACCACATGCCTTTCAACTTATCTTAGAGAGTTTAAATGGCCTTAGGTATTTTTGATTTGCTTAAACATATACTTGGAATTTATCGACTAAAATATTAAATATTTCATGGAAAACCACAAGATAATGGAAAGGAGAATTCATTGTCTGGCATTGAAATTATTAGCTGTTTAGAAACGTGTCTGTGTTGAGCAATTATTTCATAAAGTTAAATATTTTTCTCGTTTGTATTTAAAATAAACTCATTTAAAATACGGTAAGTTAAGCTCTGGTAAAGTTTTAGCGATTAGCAAGTATTTTTGCATTAATTAATTCAACTAAAAATAATGCCCCCCCCCCCCCAATGGCGCAGCGGTATGTCTGCGGACTTACAACGCTAGAAACCGGGTTTCGATACCCGTGGAGGGCAGAGCACAGATAGCCCTTGTGTAGCTTTGTGCATAACTAAAAACAAACTAAAAATAATGTTTCTTTTGAAATATCAGTGGAAGTTAATAACATTTTTGGATGGTTCTGCTGATTTCTTTCCCAGTTTGGTTGAGTGCGTTGTTAGTTAATTAGATGTAGCAGGTTTCTTTTACTTTTCTATTTCTCGGATGTGGTTGATAACCATTATTTTAGTATTATTCTAATTATTACTTGATCTTTTTCTTTAAGTAATGTTCTATAACTGATCATGTTCTATTTCCCATGCTTTTTAACATCGGCTCTACAACGACATTTTCAGAAGATCAGGCTTCTTCCTAGAACAGCATTAGATTGTTGTTATTTATTAAACAAATAATATTCATGTCAAAAAATGATAATTAATTTTAATAGAACTGTTGCGTCAGTGAGGTCACATGACTAGTGTCATGCCGCCTCTCGAGCCTTCGGGAATAGTAGGGAGATTACTAGATATAGGGTAGTCTGGTATATATATAAGAGGGTGACAATGTGTGTGTAGGTAATGAGTAATTGAACTGCAGTCAGAGAGAGCGTATTGTTGAAGTTAACGTTCGTTGTTATAGCGTTTGTTTTAGCGCGATTGTTGAAATTAAGTGTATCGTAAAGTTATATTCGGAAAGAATAAACCAGTTTTATTAAGTAAGGACTTGTGTCGCTAAAGTTTCGTGGGAACGAAGTTACGGAAAGTTAATTAACAAACGGAGACGTAACAGAACTTTTAATGTAGAGTCAGAGCTTGAAAACAATTACATAGTTAAAAACAAATCACCAGTTATAATTATGGTCATAGTTCAAATTCCTAGAATTATGTTTCCAGAATTAAATATTTTCTTATCTTGGTTTATTTTGAACTGGAAGTAGCAGAAATATTTCAAAAACTTTTTCATAAAAATTCGATTTCAAACAATATTGCTTTTTCTTATCCTCAAACTGAAAATTACTTATAATATAGAAAGTAAAATTTTAATTTTTAACAAAAGCTTGGATCAAGTTATGTTAGTTTCTTAAGAGTATAAGATAACAAGATACAGTTACAAATACTTTAATAATTTCTAAACTGCTTTTCTATTCAAAGCCTTTCTTTTTGGATGCGAAATCCATGAATATAACAGTATATTAAATGTTTAGTTTTACGGTAAGTACGTTAATCAGTATCACAAAACAAAAATAACCCAAAACTATACATTTATTCTAAACTGATTTGAAACTTATTCTTGTACTTGAAATTTAATAATTTCTTATCGTGGTTGTAGAATAACAATTTGAAATTTAGAATGGTTCTTAAGCTAAAAGATCGCAATCTTCCACACACCTGAAACTTACATAGATATAACTCTAGGAATATTTGTGAAATTAGCATGGTTTTAATTATATATTCGAACGTTAAAAAGCGAATAATAAGTCTCGTTCTTGTTAACGTAGTTTTTAGATCAGTTTAGAATAAAGTGTTATTTACTTAAAGGGACACTCTATCTTACCATTTTCTCCCTTTTTTCTGGAAATCAACTTATGTATATCTGTATAAAACCTAGTTTATTATTTTTCTCGTGTACTTATTCGTGTGAAGTTATTTGAAATACAATAACTTATGTTTTGATGGTAGGCAGACGACTCGACTTATTTCCACATCTGTTTTATAGTATAACTTGATTCGTCAAGTAATTTTCTTGTGTGTTATTTATTAAAATAAAGAGTTATTATTTTATACACTTCAAAAACTTCATAATTTCAATTGTACTCGCTGCTTTTTATTTTGTTAAATGAGAAAAAAGTAATGATTAATAGGCCTAAAATTCGCGATAAAAAATCACGCTAGACCAGACGAGTAAAAAATAATATTTCAGATCTTTCGTTCGCCACACGTCGTTGCCAAGAAGGCTTTTTAGTTATGCTAAGTCATTTTATATATGCTTATGTTTCGATTATGTATATATATATGTGTGTGTGTGTGTGTGTACATATATATATATATATATATATATGGAAATAACTTTATTCACTAATCTTTGTTCTTAAACAATACATTCTACACTAATGTAAACTGTGAAATCTTTATTGCAATTCTCCACCAAAAGAAACACCAACATTACTGCCAACATTTCACATGTTAGTAAACAAATGCTATATCTGTGATGACTCAACTATGCAAGTGAAACAACTGATGATTTTACTTCATCTTCCATCCCTGGATTAAGTCGAACACGAGCGAAGTCTTGAAAGACGAGGTCGTCTCCACCGTCACTCAACTGATTATCAGCGTCGACAGTGTTCTCTCGAGAGCTGTAGCACACATAATATTTAATTAAACTTAACTTCTTAAACAGAAAATAAAAACAATTTTCAACAACTTAACCGTTCTATATTTTTCTTTATACACACTGCTAAGCATAACTAAATGCATAATTCAAGTTTGTTATCTTATATGTATAAATATAAGTTTATAAAAAAGCAGTATGAAATATTACCATGCTATAACTTAAAATTTTGTGTTTCGGCCTTTTAGAGTAGCTCTACTGATATACACTGAATGGTCACAAGTAAATAGACACCTAATTTTTCGTCATTTAACTGATTTATGCTAACTAATTTGTGTTCACACAGCACTATATAAATGAAAATGGTCCGCACACTAATTATCTTGTGCTACAACATGCCTAGAACTCAAGGTTCTCTCGAATTGTCAGATTTTTGTTAGAAGAAGGATAGTTGGTCAAGCAGATGGTTGAATAAGTCAGCTGCAAATTTCGCAGAATTTGGGAATCCCGCATTCGACAGTCAACAGAATCATCGTGCAGTTCAGGAAACACGGCAAGGAATCAACTGAGCAGCGTCCGGATCGTCCTGGTCCGTCGGAGAGGACAAAAAGGGCTGTCAAGAGAAGCATCGAAATGGATCCCAGATTAACGACTGCTAAAGTGGCCAAAGTTGGTGGGATGTGCCCGAAATCTGTTCAACGGAT